TGGAGTTATGGTAATAATATGTTAGTACATAAATAAAAAGATAGTCAAAAATAATTTTTAAAAAAGTTAACACCTAAATAAAAAATAGTTGAAAAAATTGTTTGTGCTAAGTGAAATAAGTCAGTGACAAAAGGACAGATATTGTATGATTCTATTTATCTGATATACCTTAAACAGTCAAACTCATAGAGACAGAAATTAGAGTGGTGGTTACCAGGGGCTAGTCCAGGGGAGAATGGGAAGTTTTTTTACAGTGGATGCAAAGTTTCAGTTTGTGAAAATGACAAAAGTCGTAGAGGTGAATGTGGTCATAGGTACAATAATGTGAATATACTTAATGCCACTGAACTGTACACTTAAAAGTGGTCAAAATGGTAAATTTTATGTCATGTATATTTTACCACAATAAAATTAAAAAAAATTTTTAACTCACATACTCATCACATGCACACAAAGAAACAAATTGTTATCATATCAGACAGGATGAGAAGGGAGGGAGGAAGAAAGACTTACACTTTTTATTTTGTACTTTTTGTACTGTTTGCATTCTTTAATCATATACACACATTATTTTCACATTTAAAAATAAAATATTTAAAAGAATGCATATGAAAAGGAAGAGTTTTAATCCATGTTTCTGCTTGACTTGCACTCAAATTCTCAAAACACTATTTTATAGAAACTGATTTCCAAGAAGACATCAAAGCCCTTTTTATTATTATTATTATTACTAGAAGCCATTCCCTTGGAATCAAACACTTGTGTTTTTCCGATGGAGCTTGAATTCAAAGTCTGGGAGGGTGAGTCTATTTGGAAACCTACTCAGCACAGCCTTTGAACTGCTGCGTTTTCCAGGGCTTCACAGACATCCCTCATCCAACTGGCTTCCCATCCAAGACATCATCAGGCCGCCAGTATTTACTGACCTGCCCACAGGGGTGCCCTGAGCCTGCTGGAACATGCCCCGTAATCAAAGCCTACCCACTGAAGCCGACTGCAGGAAAATCCCAGACTGCAGCTGTTCGTCACCTGGTCTCCAACCAACAAGTTGATGGATGCCAATATGGAGGCCTTGAAGAAGGCCGTCACATCTCACAGAATTTGCTAGAAACTCTAAATTCCTGTCAGAGGACTCTGGCACATCAAAGTTGGAAGAGACCTCAGAAATCATGTTGTAAAACTGTTTTGTTTTATAAAGGGTGAAATGAGGCCCAAATACGCACCATGATGGAGCCCAGATCCAAACATAGGTGTGGATATCAGGAAACATGCCAAGTTCTAGATTTAAGTCTGGAAGCATCTTCTATAGCAGCAGGCCTGTCCTTTTGCAGGGCAGGTTGAGTAATAGATGGCAGTTAGGGGAATAGGAAGAAGTGAGGAGGCAGGAAGAAATACACAGTTTTAATCGCCTTGGCAGATATGATAATAGCATGACAAGTAAGCCAGAATTCGTAGACTGGCCATGGCGTCATTCAGTCGATGGATCAGTTCTTTGCTCTGCCAGACTTTGCTTTACGTGCGATAGATGTGGAATTGAATCAGACATGGCCTTGCCCTTGAAACACTCACAGTCCAACTGACCAGATGGTAACCAGGTTGCTAATAGAGACAGTTACAATACAGTGTGATAAGCATGAGATAGAGCAGTATTTCCTAAACTTTTCTGATCATTAGAATTACCCACCCCAGAATTACTGAGTTAGATTATTGAGGAGAAGGAGCAGGTAATCTGCATTTTTACCAAGACCACTTCCCCAAGCCCTCAAGTGATTCTCATGATCAGTCACACTGGCTTTGGAATTGTTTAGAGCTGGATTTCAATTCTGGCTCAGGCCAAGGATGTTAACTCCCCAACAAAATTTCTCCTTAGACATTGATCGTTTTCCTGTTCCTGGATTCCTTAAGACTACACCTCTCCCTCCCATCGAGACCCAGGACCACTTTGTACTGCTGTATAAGTTATGTTCAGCACAGACACATTAGCTGAGAGACTGAATGCTTGCCGAGATCCAGTCCACACTGTACTAATTCCTCTGCTCAGAGGAAAGAGCCCCACTTTTTTAAACCGAACACTCAGCCTTGATTCTTTTGAGCTGTGTTCTTCCAGAGGGAGTAACTCTATATGATTCATCTCCCCAAAGGAAGCACTTCTGTCTACTTCATACAAAGGCACCAAATAGACTAGCAGAACCCTGAAAGAACCATTTCCAGATATAAGGTTCTTAAACAGGCATGTGCTGCTACCTGTACCTGCCACCACTGCCAGATGTTCCTGCCACGCTGGACTTCTTCCACCTCTTCAGTGGCTGTACCAGTCTAATGTGGAGGTAGTCCCTGATCTGAGTCCTTGCGCATCCTCTCAGGCCGGGAATAAAGGACGGACAATCCCAAATACTCTTTGTTCCATGCCTTGAACAAGAGACAGTATAGCTTGTCATTAACAATATGAGCTTTGGAGTCAGGCCTGAGTTCAGGTCTCCACTTTACCTTTTATAGTGTGACACAAACAAATTAAGTATATCTACATAACGTAGATTTCAGTTTCCTATGCATAACTTTGTGGTAAGGTTGAACAAGATAATGCATGTGAAAGTTTTGAGCACATAATGAGCTTCTGTTTCCTGGGTGCTCTGTCCTTCAGTTTAAGCTTCACCTCAACACCTTTAGATAGCTATTATTTTATTATCCCCAATAAACAAGAAGAAAATGAATGGTGAGGTGAGATAGAGGGAAGGGGTACGGGGCTGATCTCCAAACCCAATTGTAATTTTCTAATCCCTGTTCTTTCTTTCTACTTTTGACTCTAGATCCAGACATAAAATTTTATCAGGGTTCCAGGTCCAAGGAGTGAAAAGGATAAGATTTCACCGTCAACTTATAAATGTACCTAGGTTAGGCCTAGCAACACAGGTAGAACGCAAACTAGGCTTTGATATATTGAATGCCAACACAAATCTGTTAGTAATTACTGCTAGGGCCATGTTAGGAAGCATCACAAGGGCAAGTCAGGGTTCATAGAGCATCATGATTGATTAATGACCCCAGCCATGGGAGTGGGATCCAGGAATGACAGCAGGTCCTTCAGAACACATCCCACCCCTTCAGGATTTTAAAGTATGCCCAAAGCCAAGCATGTTTGATAAAAAGGGAGATCCAAGGGTACTAAATAAAGCTGTTAAAGACCATTAGCACCTTATTAAGACCTTTTCCCAGATGCAGCCAGAAACGGCCAAAGAACACAGAACGGGGGAACATTTTGGAGAGAAAGCATGGAGCTGTCTGAAGCATTTTTTTCAAGGAGCAAAAACTCAGTTCATTTTCAAGGCTTTAATTCTAAGCTCCATCTCCAGGAACATCAGGTAAGTAGGGGGTAGTCATTGTGAAATTCTGAAACTTCCTTACTTCTCACGAGAAGCTGATGTGTGACCTTGGACAATTAATTTAGGCTCTCAAAACCTCAGGTGTTTCAACTGTAAAATGTGGAGAATAATGTCTGTCTCATAGTGCTTGGCAGGTATTAAAGAGAATAAATAATGTAAAGAAGCTACAGAGAATCCCACTCAAAAAAGGTGTTTGAAAGCATTAATTCCCCAGTCCTTTTCTCCCTTAGAAAGGACATGGTGATACATCGTTTGTAAGTCAGGCATAATTTACATATAGTAAAATTCATTCACTTTAGGTGAACTGTTCTGTAAGTTTTGACAAACATATGCAGCCCTGTAACCACTACCACAGCAGACACAGAATGCGCCATCACCACAGAAAGCCCTTCACACCTCTTTCCAGTCAATTGCTTGCACCTACCTCTGGCCCTTGGCAAACACTGATCTTAATTCTGCTTCTATAGGTTTGCTTTTTTATTACAACCTATTTTAAAAGCATAAATCCAAACAGCAAATAATTCTCTGGAGTTTTTCCTTCACATCCTACTCAAAAATAGCTGAGCTCTGACAGCAAGCTCTCTGTTCCAGGAAAATTCTTCATTAAATAAATGAATTCCATGTGCATATTAAAAAGACATTTTGCTTCATATTCCTTCTATTTATAGCCAGAGTTCAACCACTGGGGGCCCCAGGAGCCTGTCAGGGTCTTCGTGTGTTCTTCAGCTCACACTCTCTCCTCCCTGCTCCAGCCCAACTGCAGATCTGGCTCCAGGCCTAGGTGGCAGGAAAACCAAGGTGCCAAAATGGGCTTGTGGAAGTGTATCCTGAGGAGGTGTGCTCCCCAACCTTTTGGTGCAAACTTTAGGATGCCCTGAAATTCCTGGGGGAATACATGCCATATAATAATTACTAACAGCATGGAGAAGAAAGGGAATCAGACTAGAAATAAGGATAAAGGGAGGGGTGGAAAGGACTGGGTGGTTTCTGAAGTCTTCCACTGCAGAGAAGCCTCATGACCCAGGTAGATCATATAATAATTCCTGAGGCCACCATCCCCTCCTCTCCTTTGTGTGCCAGATACCATGTTAGGCACAAGAATTAAAGGTGAATAGATAAAAATAATAATAATTAGAAATAGTTTTTACCCATAAATAACTTACTGCCTAATAGGGAAACAAAACACATTCAGAAAGATGTGGTTGAGTGGAGGAGAAACTGCATGGAGTATTGAACTAGAGGAAATGGGGTTTTAACCTGACTTGGTCATTTGCTTGTTGTGTGACCTTGGGAATGGTGTGTCTCTCCTCTTAGCCTCAAGGGTTTCATCTACAAGCTAGAAATTACATCCACCCTCAGAGGAGTGTTATGTGGACCAAATAAGGTTATGGCTACAAAGCACCTAGCCCAGTACCTATCATGTTTCAGCTCAAGAAAGGGTAGGTTTTTTTCTTACCTTCTATACTAGTCTGGGTTCTCCAATAGGAGATGATAGATAGATAGGATGATTGATTGATAGATCAGATGATTGATGATAGATAGACAAACAGATAGAGTGTGTGTGTGTGTGTGTGTGTGTGTGTGTGTGTGTGTAAAGAGACTTATAAGAAATTGGCTCACATGATTTGAAAACTGAGAAATCCCAAGATCTGAAGTCAGCCAGCTGGATTCCCAGGAAAGTCAATGGTGTGGTTCTAGTCTGACTCTGTAGACCTGAGGAATAGGAAAGTGAATGGCGTTAGTTCCAATCTGAAAGCCAACTCACGACCCAAGACGAGCCAGTTTTTCAGTTGGAGTTCGAAGGCAGGAAATGGTCAGTGTCTCAGCTCAAGTGTCAGCAGGAACAGTTCCCTCACTCAGCCTTTCTGTTCTATTCAGGTCTTCAATTGATTGGATGTGTTCTATCCACATTACGGAGGGCCACCTGCTTTACTCAGGCCTACCAATTCCAATGGTAATTTCATCCAGAAACACCCTCACAGACATGCCCAGCATAATGTCTGTCCAAATACCTGTACTGGTCAAGTCAACACATAAAATATCACAACTTCCAAGAAAGAAATTGGTATTCTAAACGGGATTCAGAGAGACCTAGAGCATTTGAATGAAAAAGGTTACTTTTGGCTGAGTAGTGTAGAGGAGTTGATATCTGAGTCTTTTTTTCCTTTTTTTCATGATTGTAGCTGCACCAGTTACCAAGAACCTGCCCATCCTATAGGAAAGGTCTGGGCTTAAGTTTCATTCACTCCTTGTCAGTCTCAGCTGCATCTCACCATGTGACTCCCTCACTTCTTACTTTGCATTATTGTCCCTGTCTCAATTCTACTAGTCTGTAGTCTTGATGCTACTTTCTCCATAACTGATGGAGGCTCTGTGTGTTTTGTTTTGTTTTGAGACAGTTTTATTCTTTTTTGCCCAGGCTGGAGTGCAATGGCGTGATCTTGGCTCACTGCAATCTCCGCCTCCTGGGTTCAAGTGATTCTCCTGTCTCAGGCACTCAAGTAGCTGAAGTACAGGCACGCGCCACCATGCCCAGATAATTGTGTATTTTTAGTAGAGACAGGGTTTCACCATGTTGGCAAGGCTGGTCTCAAACTCCAGATCTCAGGTGATCCACCTGCCTCGGCCTTCTTAAGTGCTGGGATTACAGGCGTGAGCCACTGCGCCAGGCCTGGCTCAGTGTTTGACACATGGTAGAGGTGCAGAAGATACTGGTTGAGTGACTATGAAATCTAATTCAACCATTTCATGCAACAGATGAAACAGCTAAGGCTTCTGGCTTGTGTGTTTGTTCATTCAGCCTCTGATGAGCACTTGCTATGTACTGCAACAACCTATCAAGGTAAATATGTAGAAATAAGCAAGACATCATATATACTCCCTGAAAGCTCAGACTGGCACAAGGGAGGAAAATGAAAAGGGGAATGCCTACTATGTGCAGGGCTCTGTATGTATATCACTTCACCTACTTTTCCTAATGTCTATTTACTCATTCATTTATCTAAAAATTTTATTGAGCATAAACAGTGGTATCCCTAGAATCCAGAAATTGTCCTAGGTTCCAGGGATACTACAGTGAACAAATGAGAAATAGCTACCATTATAGAGTTCGCAGTAAGGTAGGTGACACAGAGAAACAGAAAAATAAAATAAACCAGTCAATAATGAAAACGATGATATTTGCAAAATGCAGAGAAATCAAGAAAAGAAAAAATATATAATCTATCTGGGGAAGTCAGTTAAAAGTTTAATCTGATCAGTTCTCAGATCAGATTTTGTATCTGATCTGAGAATTGATGGAAGAGTACCTGTTCTCCAATCAGACATATAGGGAATACTGTGGATACTAGATACTGCATCTTAGGCCACGAGCATGATCTATACAGAATCTTGCCAACATGGGAGAACATAAACAAATAAAAGCTTGTGTGTGTGTGTGTGCGTGTGTGTGTGTGTGTGTGTGTTGAAGTTCTTTACAATTTAATTTTTCCCAAAGCATTATGTTAAAACATATGACTATAAACCTTTGCACACCACAGTCTACCGCTGAATCTATATTTGACAGACAGGTGGTTAAATGTAACTCTTTGTGTATGAAATTCAACAGCTTTCAACATTCATTGTTAGAAAATCATGTCGGGCTGGTATATAACTGCTGGGTAAAGAAGTGCTGGTGGGCAGGGGCAACTTCTCCACCACCACTATGCATATCTTTGTGGCCCTGTGGCGATTTGCCTCAACCAGTCATTACCCTCTCTCTTGGATGAAATACTGCTTTCAAGGATCATAGGCATGGAAAACTATCTGACAGCTGAGTTGGAGCCTCAGTGCTGCTCCTTTTTGCTCTTCAAAACAAACTCATTGAGCCTTGGTTTTATCAATTAATAATTGCTCCTTTTTGTTGAAAACTTACTGTTTGCCAGACAGCATACTGGGCACTTAACATACATTCTCTCAGCAAGTATTCACTACAATCAATAGGTATGGATGTAAGTATTACAATTCTTATTTCACAGACACGGAAACTGAGGCCTAAGAGTGATAAACTGATCTGTTCAGAGCCACGCAGATAGGATCAGAATATGGTCCAGAGCTCAGCAATCACAATTCCTTACTCTCTATCAACTCCCTTCTAGTATCAGAGGTAAATACAATTCAACTGCATTTCAAAAAGGATGTGTTAACATTAATTAGGCTATCAAGCCTTACTCTGCTGTTTCTAGACTTAAAATGCTTCCTCAGTTCCTCCTTCACCAACCACAAAATAAAATCCCTTCTACTTACGTGGCATTCAACATTCTTTATTCTTTCTCTTCTTTCTACCCCTTCAACCTTAGTAACATTCATCCCCCAACCTCAACACCGAATATTGCACATCCTAAGGAAACTATGGGATATCTACTTCTGGCCAAAATGGAGTGACTGGGGCCAGCTTTATTCTCTTACCTGAAACAACTGAAAAATTAAACAACAATGACAACAACAAAAGCAATGGTTCTCAAGACATTGGACGCTTAGGCAATGTAGGACTATGATTCCTGCAAGACAGCTACATTAAGTTGTTCTTGCACTGATATAAAGAAATACCTGAGACTAGGTAATTTCTATGAAAAGAGGTTTAATTGGCTCATGATTCTGCAGGCTATACAGGAAGCATAGCACCGTCTGCTTCTGAGGAGGCCTTGGGAGGCTTCCAAGCACAGTGGAAAGCAAAGGGGAAGCAGGCACATTACCTGGCAGGAGAAAGAGCAAGAGAGAGCATGGACAGGAAGGTGTCACACACTTTTAAATAACCAGACCTCATGAGAACTCACTCACTGTCAGGAGGACAGCATCAAAGGGATGATGCTAAACCATCCATGAGACATCTACCCTGAAGATCCAATCACTCCCACCAGCCCTGACCTCCAACATTGGGAATTATATTTCAATATGAGACTTGGGTGGGGTAAATATCCAAACTGTATCAACAGGAAAACAGGGTACATCTTTTGACTGCCCCAGCTTACAGCCTTGAGTACATTTCTAGGCCACAACATAGGATGTGGCACCTAGATGGAACCTAGTGGACTCCTTGATTTGAGGAGACAAAGCTGGTGATCCAGGGAGACCAAGGTGGCTGGAGTTCGAGGGGTATATTCTAGAAAGAAAGGCCAATGAGAGAGGGAACTCCTGAGATGTGCTGACAGTTCCCCTTCAGTATTAAGCTGATACTGCATCTTAGGCCATGAAGACAGCCTCTACAAAACATTGCCAACATTGGAGAACATTAACAAATAAAAGCTTTTCTGTGATGAAGTTCTTTACAACTTAATTTTTCTTTACAAGCAGCATGTGCATGTAAAGAAAACCACCTGAGACAGGAGAAAGAGACCTCAATTTATTATGAGGAAAAAAAATCAGTCAAATGACAGTAACCCAGATGATTAAATAAACAGATGAGGGCATTAAAACCGCTATTGGAAGGGTATTCTGTATGCTCAAGAAGCTAGAGGAAAGGTTGAACATGTTAAGCAGAGATGTGAAAGATGTAAAAGACCCAAACTGAACTACAACATCTGAGAGAAAAAATGAACTGTATGGTTTAATGGCAAATCCAACACTGAAAAAGACAGTGAATATGCAGATTATCCAAAACAAAACACAGAAGAAAAAAACTAAAAAAAGAAAAAATGAATGAATCGTCACTGTTATTGAGAAGACTATTTAGAAAATGGAAAAACAAACCACTGACTAGGAGAAAATATCTTCATAATTTACAAAGCATTCTCAAAACTCAATAATGAAAAAAACAAACCAGGCCAGGTGCAGTGGCTCACACCTATAATTTCAGCATTTTGGAAGGCCGAAGTGGGTGGATCACTTGAGCCCAAGGGTTTCAACCAGGCTGGACAACATGGAAAAATCTTGCCTCTACAAAAAAATACAAAACTTAGCTGGCAATGGTGGCATATGCCTGTAGTCCCAGATACTTGGGAGGCAGAAGTGGGAGGATGGCTCAATCCCAGGTTGAGGCTGCAGTGAGACATGACTACATTATTCCAGTCCAGCCTGGGTGACAGAGAAAGACCCTGTCTCAAAAAAACAACAACAAAAAAACAAAATCATTCGATTTTTAAAATAAACATTATATGTGAACACTCTATCAAAAGCAAGATATACAAATGGTGAATAAGCATATGAAAAGATCCTCAACAGCATTAGTAATTGGAAAAAGGCAAATGAAAGCATAGTAAGATGTGCTGATGACCTACTAGAATATCTAAATGTTTAAAGACTAACATACCAAGTGCTGGAGAAACTATGGAGCAAGTAGAGCTCTCATACACTGTTGGGAGAGGTGCAAAATGTTACTATCAGTTTGGAAAACAGTTTGACAGCTTTGTAAAGTTAAACTCACCTCTGTCATATGGCCCAGCCATTCTACTTCTAGGAATTTAACAAAGAGAACTAAAAGCATATGTCCATACAAACACTATTGTTTCTGACAGCTTTATTTGTAATGTCTAAAATTTAGAAATAACCCAAATCTTCATCAGCAGGTAAACGGATATGTGAATATGGTATATCTGTACAATGAAATAGTATTCAGCCATAAAAAGAATGAACTATTCATACATAGAATAACATGGTAAACCTCCAAATAATTAGGCTGATTAAAAAGAACAAAATTTAGAAAGAATACTTACCGTTTGATTTTGTTTATGTAAAAT